TGCGTACATCATCACATAAATGGTGTATTCACAATCAAATTTGGCATCATCTGTCATTGTCCAAACAGCGTCATCTACAACTTGAAAAATAAAGTGTACATATATAGAAGAATTTTCTTTCATTATAACTTGAGAAGTCGCATTGACTGTCACATAATTTAAATTATACATATCAGCATTTCCACTCATTATAATCTTACTAGAAAAAACTCCACCAATAAAAGTCATAATTGAGTTACCATTCATCATCAACGCGCTGTTCTGTATAAGATTAAATTGTGAAGTAGTGATATTAGAATGCCCATTCATTTTAATAGTAGTATTTTGTCTAACTTCAATGAGATTGGTAATGATGCGAGAATATTCATTCATTAATATTAAAGAAGTATCTTCAATAGAATTATTTTCATTTTCGCCTGTGTTGTTTAAAACACCCAAAATTAAACTACTATTCGATTCAAAAGTGGATTCATTATTTATTGTTAAATTGGACTTATCAAATAAGTAAAAATTGTTGGATGATACAAAATATGTAGTGTTAAATAATTTAATACAACATGTGTCATAAAATACAGAAACACAGTCTACAGTAATTGTAGAAGTATTATCCATCTTCATTTGGCCATTTTCAATACATTTGAATTTTTCTGTTAAACTTAATTGTCCTTTTTCTGTTATTATTAAAAATGGACCAACTGAATCATTGGCTCCTATTGTTGCATTGGGTATTAAACAATCATTTGTTATCGTTGTTCCTTGATTGTTAAAGTCACATTGTGTATATTCACTTAGAGTTAAAATTAACATAAAACTCAAAACCAATAACATCATGGTATTTTTTATGATAAACAGTTTTTTTCATTTATAAAGGATTGATTTGTATTTTGGAATATAAATTAAATAATTAATGGTTTTTTTATTATGACAAAACTCAATAATATCACAAAGTAAGAGTATTTTACAATTTGGTCAAAAATTTCAGAGTCAAAAAGCTTTTTAATTAAGCTTTTTGTAATGCATTTTAATATTAAATATAATTGTTTTTACTTTTTTGAATATAATATGGCATTTAAATTCTTAACAAACAATAAAATGCATTTTATATACACTTTTATAAATTTTGGTATTCAAATAAAATAATTGTGAAATTCGTCCTATAAAAACATTCTTAGTTAATAATATTTTTTATGTAAAAAATATTATTAAAAAATAAAACCAAAAACAAAAGATTAAATGGA